TCAAAATATTAAAAATAGAATTACCATATGATAGCAATCTTACTTCTGGGTATATATCCAAAAGAAATGAAATTACTATCTCAAAAGATATGTGTACTCCATGTTCACTGCAGCATTATTCGCAATAGACAAAATATGAAAACAACCTTAATGTCCACAGATGAATGAATGGATAAAGAAAATGTGCTATATATAAATACAATGGAATATTATTCAGTCTTAAAAAAGGAAGAGATCCTGCCATTCGCCACAACCTGGATGAACCTGGAAAACATTACGCTAAGTGAAATAAGCCAAACAAAGAAAGACAAATACCACATGATCTCATTTATATGTGGAATGTTAATACGTCCCACTCGTAAAAACAGAGAGTAGAATGGCAGTTACCAGGGCCTGGGGGGTGGGGAAAATGGCAAGATGTTGGTCAAAGAGCACAAACTTTCAGTTACAAGAAGAATAATTTCTAGAGATCTAATGTATAACATGGTGATTACAGTTAATAATTTATTACATACTTAAAATTTGTTAAGAGTGTAGATCTTCAGTGTTCTCACCACAAAATCCAAGGTAACTATATGTGGTGATGGATATGTTAATCAGCTTTACTGTGGTAATCAATTCACAATGTATATGTATATCAAATCATTATGTTGTACACCTTGAATATGTACAATTTTTACTTGTTATCATACCTCAATAAAGCTGTGGGGGAAGGAATTAATAATCTGAACAGTTCTTTATCTATTTAATCAAATGATTTGGTATTTTAACCACCACCCCCAAAAACAACAACAACAACAACTCCAGGCCTAGATGACTTCGCTAGTGAAATATATTAAACATTTAATTCCAGAAAAATCAAAAAGGATAAAATACTTCCCAAGTCATTCGGAGTCCAGATTTACTCAGTTAAGAAAACCTAGATAATACAAGAAAACTATAGATCAATATCCATCATAAAGATGCAAAAATTCTTAAAATTTTAGCGAATAGAATCCAACAATATACAAGAAGGATAATACGTCATGACTAGTAGGGTTTATCTCAGGAACACAATGTTAGAAAAAAATCAATGAACATAACTCTCCACATTAAGAGTCTTTTTAAAAAATCTGATGGTCACAGTTACAGAAAAAGCAACTGACAAAATACAGCATCCACTATTTATCAAAAAAAAAATTCTCAGCAAAGTAGGAATATGATAAAACTTCCTAAACCTAATAAAGTGCTTCTACAAAAAATATACAATTAATATCTTGCATCATACTTAATGAGGCAGAAATAAACACCTCTCTATCTGATCAGGAACAAGGCAAGATGTTAGTTCTCACCATTTCTATGCAAAGAGACCGTTCTAGCCAATGCAGTACAGCAGGAAAAATAAAAGCCATCCTCACTGGAAAAGAAATAAAACTCTCTTATTTATGGATGACATGCTGACCACCTACATAGAAAATCTGATAGATCTACAAAAAAGCTATTAGAATAAGTAGTATAGCAAGATTGCAGGACACATGATATGCAAGTAGCAACAAAGAACTAGAAATTAAAATTTTAAAAGATACCATCACTTACAACAGCATCAAAAAACAGGAAAAACCTACAGATAATCTGACGAAGATGTGCAAGACCTATGTAATGAGAGCTATGAAACTTTGCCTAGAGAAATTAAGGAAGACTTAAATGAACAGATATATGCTGTGTCCATGGGTCAGAAGACTCATTATTTAAGATTCAATTCTTCCCCAAATTAATGTATAGATTCAATACAAATTCCAATTAAAATCTAAACAGTCTTTTATTTTGAAATGGACAAATTGATTATAAAATTCCTGTGGAAAGAGGACCTAGAACAACCAACATAAATTTTAAAAAGAACAAAGTGGAAGGACTTAAACTAGCTGATTTCAATATCTATTACAAAGCTATATTCATCAAGACTATATATTAATAGTATTGGCATTAAAACCAAGAGATCAATGGAACAAAATAAAACATGCAGAAACGGGCCTACATACAAAAATCATTTTTGAACAAAGATGCAAAGGCAAGTCAATGGAGAAAAGTTGGGCTTTCCAGCAAATGGTGCTGGAACAACTGGATATTCACGCAGAAAAAACACCTTTATTCCATATTTCATGCCATATACAAAAATTAACTTAAAAATGGATCCTAGATTTTATGAAAAACCAAAAACAATAAAACTTCTTTAAAAAAATAGGAGAAAATACTTGAGACCTTAGGTTAAGCAAAGATTTCTCAGATACAATACAAAAAGCGTGATCCAAAAAAAATCAAATGGATAAAATCGACTTCACCAAAATTACAAATCGATAAATTTAGACTTCAACAAAATTAAGAACTCTGCTTTCAAAACATATTGTTAAGAGAACAAGAAGACAAGCATCAAAATGGGAGAAAATGTTTGCAAATCACATGTGATAAGAACTTACGAAAATATATAAAGACCTCTCAAAACTCAATAAAAAGAAAACAAACAGCTCATTTTTTAAAACGGACAAAAGATTTCATATACACTTTACCCAAGAAGACATACAGAGGAATTACAAAGGTGCGCAAGAAATCCATGGGGTTATTAGCTGTTCTTTATCTTGATTGTGATGACAGTTTTCATAGATATATACATGACAAAATTTCTCAAATTAGACACTTTAAATATGTACAGTTTACTGGATGTCAAGTATTCCTCAATAAAGCTGCTATAAAATATCCAACTTGAGAATGCCTTCTGGGTCCCAGTGGCACCTTGACTGCTACATTCCTTCATCCCCTACATTCGATCAGTAATTATAATAATGCCTAACCATTCTATTATCCTAATCTCTCTCCATTTTCATAACTATTACTCTAAACCTCTCACCTATATGACTACAATAGCATCTCTCCAGGCTTCACTACTCCAATTCATTCTCTACCCTGTAGCCACAATTAATTTTCTAAAACATAAATCTGAAGGTGTCATTAATTGCCCTGGAGATATATCCCAAACTCCCTCAAGATGATTCACCAGACCCTTCCTGATCTGGCCCTCTCACCCTCCCGAGCCTGGTATCTGGTGATTTCCCACCTCACTCTTCCCTGCCTAGCCATACTAATCAACCACATTCCATGCTTCTGTAGTTTTTTATGTGCTGTTCCCAACTCACACGAGCCTCTTCCCTTTCTCAAACCCACTCAAACTCAGGCTTTGGAACTTAGCTCCAATATTATCTCCCTAGGAAGTCTTCCCCAAACCCCACTGTGAACCATGTGCCCTTCTCTCCACTCCTGAGAATCTTCTGCATACCCTGAAAGAGCACTAAATCTGAGTTATCATATAATCTCTCCCATTAAACTGGATTGAAACAGACTGGATGAAAGCTTGAAAGCAGAGACCAAGTCTTACTCATCTTTACTTTCCCAGAGCCTACCATAGTGCTGAGCCCAGAGTATCAGTGAACAAATGAATAAATAAAAACTGATTTGGATGATCTCTTCTTATACCACCTGGGTTGATTCTATACCCCTCCATTATAAAAAGATGGCAGGAGAGAGATTAAGTGATCTCTGTAGCATATCCTGGTAAAATAATCATTTCAAATTTCCTTGGGAGGTCCCACTCTGGCTGGAAGTTTAAGGGCAAGACTCATTACCTCAAATTGTTTTAAAAACCATCTGGTAATTGACTATGATTTGAACTAAGTGAAAGGTTAGGGAAAGGGAACCAAATTCCAGGAAAAGACAAAGCACACAGCAAAAATTAACACAGGCTGGAAGGCTGAGTGCCCTCCCAGTAAACGTCTTAATTTCAACCAGAAAGACACAGCTCCCCACCCTCTGGGTTATTCCCTTCTCTAAATACACATGTTTTGATTTCCAAGTCCAGCCAGGGAGGCTCCCAACCTCCCTCCTCCTCAAAATTCATCTCCAGGCCCTGGGTTCTGTTCTCTCAGTCATCCTTAATACCAGTCCTCCAAGCCTCCCTCTAGGAGGTCCTCCTCAGCTGGCCCCTCCAACAGCCCAGCTGGCCCCTCCAACAGCCAGGCCAGCAGCCATCAGGTCAAGGGCCAAGCATGAGGGCCACATTAACAGGAGACTCCCAGAAGACCAAGGGGCAGTCATCTGGCTGGAAGATCCAGCTAGCAAGTTAAAAAGGAAAAAAAATCAGGATATACACTTGTGGATCATAGGGAAGAAGGGGAAAGCAAGCAAAAAACAAAATAAATCAAAACTCTACCGTTTAAATTATGGCCACGAAGTAAGAGAAGATTTTCCTTCTTTCTTACTATCTGCTATTAAAGAGCAAAATCACTTCCCCACTACTAATTTCATACTTTAAAAAATAATGTAAGGATACCCGCTCTTCCTATCTTGGTCAGGAATGATGAAATTTACTTTAGGGATGAAATTTGTGTTAAGACGTCAGGAAGTGCTTTAGTGGAAAATAGCCAATAATTAGAGAAATTCATCCATTTTGCATCTTGCCGATCCTTAAATAAAAGAGAAATTAATGAAAATTGAAAGATATCCTTAGGCCTTTCCTACTCAGGATAACTGTAACCAAACAGCATTATCCCATCTAAACTAAGTTGCACCTCAAACATTATCATAAGCTGCTGGAAGCCTTTAAAGCTACAAGCAACACTGGCCTAAAAATGCCTTAGGTAGCCAGACTTGAATTAAAGGGCTCCAAAACTGCCTGGAAAAAAATGTCCTAAAAGGGGGAGGAGAGAGGGGGGAGGGTAAGAGGAGGAGAGTAAGAGAGGAACTGAATGTAGTTAACTGGACAGTGACCGCAGGCAAAGCACTCTGGGTTCCAAACATCTAAGGGGCAGCCTTGGCAGATGCAGTAGAGGGCGACCCTTCCCTTGTGGCCCCACGCCTCACCCAGGAGAGGACACAGGGGATTCAGTAACGTCTGGGGAGCCACCGACCCGGCGAGTGTGAGACTTAAGCACCCAGAGGAGGAAAAGGAGGAGAAAGGGGAGGGAAGCGCTGACCCAGTGCGCTCTCGGGTTGGAGAACCTTCTTCCTGGACGTGGGCGCTGAGAGTCTGTGCGCCTGCAAAAGCCCCTGGTGCCCACGTGGGACGGAGAGGAGGGTCACTTACAGGACTTGTCCAATCTGAAATTACATTTTAGCTAGAGGGACTCTGCACGTAGGCACGCCCAGCCTCACGGCGCGGGGGCAGGGCGGTCTCCGCGGGTGGCTGCAGCCCAACCCCACCCTGCCCCGCGCGAGGCCACGCCCCACGCCGGCAGCGGCCCCCGCGCCCTTGTAAGGCGCGCCTTGATTGGTCCTTTGAACCGAGCCCGGGATTGGCCAACGCTTGCCGCCCCCGCCGTGGGCCCGCCCATTGGGTCCGCGTTCATCTCCAACCGGGCCAGAGGGGACCAAGCCTGGCTCGGGCTCCTCCCGCCCTCGCTCGGTTTTTAAAGGCACCGAAGGAGACTGTGTCTGCCCAGGGTACGAGTTTCCCCCTCATCTCACAGAACTCATCCTTGCAAACTCTCCGCAGCCCCTGATGGATGTGTGTGTCAAACCGTTTACTGGACACCAGGACTTTTCTAGGCTGGTGTAAGAAATAATATTTATTGAATGCTTACAATTCTTGAATGCTTATCTTGTGCCAGACCTTGCTTCTGATTCTTTGCAGGAATTTACTTATCTAATCCTGTGGCCAGCCCTCTGAAATACTCATGAGATTTTGAACATCCGCGTGATAGATGGTTCCCTGCCTTTGAGAAATTTACAATCTTGTGGGCAGTGGACACTGACCTCATTTAATCCACGCCTTACCTTTTCAGTAAGCTATATCTTATGTATCCCTAATTTACAGATGCGGGGAGTCAGAAATGTTTTTAGCTTTTTCTTAGACTCACAGCTAATAAATAGGCAACCAGAAGGAGAATTCCAACCTGAGCTCCAATGTGAGCTGTTTCCGTTAAAAAGGCAGAATCCCAGGCTGAGAGAACTGGAGACTTGGAAGATGGCAATTGCTGAATCCAAACGTTTTGTTTTCCCAGGAAAGGAAACTGAGGCCCAGGAAAGGAAAGTGTCTTTCTAAGGACACACCTGTTGAAAGAAGTAAGCCTCGATAATAACATTGGTCTTATATGCCAGGTGCGTTATGATTGTCTGCTATCTTCACAACCTCAAAATAAATAAGTGCTCTTATCTAGGTTTTACAGGTGAGGATACTGGCCCAGGGAGGCTCAGACCACATGATTAACCCTAGTCTTCGTGTGCTGTATCTTTACTAGCGATTCTGGTTTGGGGTCATTTTCTTTTTTCTGAGCCATGATTGTTCACCTTTTATTCCCAACAAATACCCAAAGACCTAGCTGTAGGCTCTTTCAGATCTGTTCCTTAGCACCCGTGTGAATTGAGTGTTCAGTAGGAATAATGATATTAAGATCTGCTCATCTTACCTTTTCAGAGCATCGTGAAGAGCAAATAAGCTAATAGATATCAAAATGTTTTGTAAAGTGTTACATGTTGAATACACATAAGTTATTGCTTCCAAATCTTCAGTGTACCCCAAGAATGGAATAAATGAAATACACCAGTTGTCTCATGAACTGGTAGTGACAGGAGTGGCTCATCCTGACTAGTCTTGAATTAGCATGGATTTGCTGCCTGGCTTCTGTGGATGGTGCTGTTTCTAGCTTTTGTGTATTTGGTTCTTGATTTGATTCTTCTTATTATGATACTATCAGTAGCAACAATAGCACAGTGGCTCGAGCTCTCACAACCACGTTGGAATTGAAAGGTCCTCAGGAATGAAAACCACACATGGCAAAACAACAAGGTGAATGGGCTTGGGTTCCTGACACCATGCAGCACCAGACCAATATCCAATTGCATGTTTCTAAACCTCCACATGAAAGAAAAGAAACTGTTGTCTTGTATAAGATACTTTTATTTTCTGTTATATGGGGCCAAGCCTAATCATAACTGATATATATAGATTATGTACACACACACACACACATACACTTTACCTTGTAGAACTCTTAAACAGCAACCTTATAAAGTGATAGCTATGGAAACAGACCTACAGAGTAAAAATCATTATGTTCAAAGTCATCCAGCCAAGTGGCCAAGGTGAGAGAGATTCTGACCTGGGTCTGTCTGAGGCCAATTCTGATTCTCTTTTTCAGTTATGATGCACTGCCTATTATGAATGAATGCATCATTTTTTTTCATTTACTTCCATTCTGTTCATTTATTTCAGGGTATAGCATACTTTTTCTGTAAAAAGAAAAAAAAGTAAATATTTTAGACTTTGTGGGCAATACAGTCTCTGTTGCAACTACTCAACTTTCCTTTGTAGTGTAAAAGCAGTATAGACAAAAGTAAATGAGTGGGCATGACTATGTTTCAATAAAACTTTACAAAAGCAGGCAACAGGAGATGTAGCTCATAGGCTTTAGTTTGCCAACTCCTGATTTATTCTATTCTTATGTTCCATCACAAAAGTGCACTAGAAATGTATTACAGAAGTTCCCCCACCTTCTGTGATAGTGCAACATTGTAGGCACACTCATGCTGTTGGCCAAAATAAAGTCAAGTGACAATGTGATTCAAAAGAAAGATCCCTAAACTGATAGTCATGAAATCTGGGTAGTGTGTTCATATCTGCCACTGCTATGGTTTGAAAGTGTCCCCCAAAAATCATGTGTTGGAAACTTAATCCCCAGTGCAACAGTGTTGGGAGGTGGGTGCCTAATGAGACGTGACCAGTCCATGAGGGCTCCACTCTCATGAATGGATTACAGGAGGGAATTCATTATAAATGAGCACGTTTGATCCCCTTCTCTCTCTCTCTCTTCCTCTCTCTCTCTCTTTCTCTCTCTCTCTTTCTCTCTCTCCCTCTCCCCTTCCACCATGAGATGATGCAACAAGAAGGGCCTGTCCAGATGCTAGCACCTTGATATTACACTTCCCAGCCTTCAGAACTATGAGAAATAAATTTCATTTCTTTATAAATTACGCAGTCTCTTACATTTTGTTATAGCATCACAAAACAGACTAAGACTGCCATTGATCCAGATCCATGTCCTGGACCACCGCGAGTTGTCTCAGTTTCTCTCTATATAATAGGAACAAATAATACAAATGTTAATCATATTTTCTCAATTTCCATGACAGTGAGGAGGCTGGAAAGAGATGACATATGTAATCATATTTCAAAAAGCTATAAATGTTATCCTGCCATATATACATTACTTCACAACAGGCTGGGACATATGTCTTCCTCTGTACCCTCCAGTTCCCTGTCCTTATCTCTATGACAGAACATATCAAATGCCCAGCAATTATTAGTGCATCTACCTATCCCCTTTCCTCCTTCCCAGCTCTACATAAAAGATTTTTGCATCGCATTGAATTATGAAACTTTAGTATTGGAAAGTCTAGACACTCAGGTCATTGCTGGGCAGCATGTTGTCATGCAGTGTCATTGTCCACTAAGCACCCCACAGGTCACACTAGTGAAGCAGCACATCAGTCTTAAGCAAGACAGAAAAAACTGGGTTATGAAACCCTGGAACCAGCTGAGCTGGAAGTTTATTTAATTAATTTCCTTCCTGCTCAGAGATGGCTCTGTGCAGCTCCAGGACGTGCTCTCTCTGGTGACCCGCGGAAGACCTGTGATCTCTAACTGAACTCTCTAAAACCTTTTCCTGCCTTAGCAACTTGCCCCCTCATTAGAGAAAAAAGATCTTTTCCCTGAGATTCTTAGAGTCATGGCACGGAAATAGATATCGTTATTCATTTATTCATGAATTCATTTATCCGTTCATACCTTTATGTATTCATTCATTTAACAAAGATGTATTGAGTGCTTACTGTCCCAGGTGCTAAAGAGATAGTGTTGAGATGAACAGACATAGCCTGTTCTCACCGAACTTACAGTCAGGAAACACACAAATATATAATTGATTCAGGTGCAAGTAGAAAGGAAAATAGGACACTATGAGAGAAAGAACCTGACTTAGATTGAGGTCTAACTGAGACTGGTGATTCTGAGGAACCAGGTACTTTATACATTGTCTCTGATCTCAACAACGCTGTGAAATGCCTATTATCACAACCATTGTACAAATAGGGAAACTGAGGCTTAGGAAAATGAGGTGACCGGCCTAAGGAAGCACAGCTAGTTAGTTTGCAGTAGGCTGTGCTCTCTCCAGTACTCCAGACTGCATAACTCAAATTCGGAAGGTGAGAATTTTCCCACCTTCCACCTTTGCACACACCATGCCTCCTTCTACCTGAGATGCCTCTTCCTTCGTTCTTCTCATTGGATGTATATTTTGCTGTCAGTGTCTAGTTGAGTATCTACTTCTTCTGTAAAGTTCCCCCTTCTATTTGAGACCTCACTAAATCTCTTTTCTTCTAGATTCCTGCAACAATCATCAAATATTACTCACATGGCACTAAACCTAGAATACCTTGTCAAGTTAATTCTCTTTTTTACGTGCCTTCCCTGACACTCTCACGCACGGCCCTATAGGCAGCACAGTGCCATTGGAGCCAGACAGACCTGGGGTCTTCTCCCAGTTCTACAACTTGCTTGATAGGCAAGCTGGAGAAGTTTCTTAACCTCTCTGAACCTTACTTTCTCCTTGGAGAATAATAATATTTGTTTCTTGATATAATTCTTGAAGCATTTGTCATGACACTGAACAGATAGTAGGTATTCAATACTTTATCATCTTCTACCCAATTTCATTTTCTAGAGTAGAGGGCTCAGGAGGACAAGAACCCTGCCTTCTACTTTACACCTTAGCAACTAGCACGGTGCTCCATAATAGCAGGTGGTCAATAAATGGTATATAATTATGGTGATGATAGCCCTTACCTGCCTCCTGGGTCCCTCATTATTAAACAGATTTGTTTTCTCCGGTCTTTCTTCTTTCTTTCTTTCTTTCACGATTTAAGCTTCCCTTAAATTTGATCCTCTGGCAGGAATGCATGCCATTGCATACAGTCTTTCTCTCTTCCAAATCCACACTGTCATATCAAAAAGAAAACTGACATAGTCCACTGGGAGACCTGACAGGTGGTCAGGAAGGGAAAACCACT